TTATTATTAAAAAATTTTAAAATATTATTATTATATTATTATTTATTATTAAAAATTTGTGGAGATTTTTTTTTGGGAATTATATTATTATTATTATTTTAATTATTTTTTTAAATTTTTAAAATATAAAATATTAATTATTATTATATTGGATTAAAAATATTATTATTATTAAATTAAAGGATAAATTTGATTGGGGTTGGGTGGATGGATGATGGATGGGTGGGGGAAAGGATGGATGGATGATGGATGGGTGATGGGATGGAGGATGGATGGATGGATTATGGATGGATATGGATGGATGGATGGATGGATGGATGGATGGATGAAAGGATGGGTGGTTGAAAGGAAAGGGTGATGGATGGATATGGATGGATGGATGGATGGGTTTGGATGGATGGGTTGGGTTTGGGTGAAGGATGGTGGATGATGGATGGATGGATGGATGATGGATGGATGGATGATGGGTGGATGGGTGGATGGATGGATAGAAAAGTGGATGGATGGGGTGGGTGGTGGGTGGTTGGATGGAAAGGATGGATGGATGGGGTGGGGTGATGGATGGATGGGTGGATGGATGGATGGTGGATATGGATGGATTTGGGTGAGGGAAAGGGTGGATTGTGGGGGGGGATGGATGGATGGATGGGTGATGGAGGGGTTTGGGTGGAAAGGATATGGATGGATGGTGGGAAAGGATGGGGTGGATTATGGATGGATGATGGAAAGGGTGGATGGAAAGGGGTGGATGGGTGATTGGGGTGGATGAAGGTTTGGGTTTGGGTGGATTGGGTGGATGGATGGATGGATGGATTAAAGGAAAGGATGGAATTTAAGGATGGATGATGGAAGGATGATGGAGGGGTGGATGGATGATGGATGGAAAGGGTGGATGATGGGTGGTGGGATGGATGGAAGGATGGATTTGGAAAGATGGGGGTGGAGGTGATGGAAAGGGTGGGAAAGGGTGGATGGATAGAGTGGATGGTTGGATGGATGGATGGTGGGTTTGGGTGGATGGATTTGGGTGGAGGGGTGATGGATGGATGGATGGAAAGGGGTGATGGAAAAAGTGTGGATGGATGGGTGGATGGGGTGAATGGATGGTTTGGGTTTGGGTGGAGGATGGTTGGTTTGGGTGGATGGATGGGTGGAAGGTTTGGTGGTTTTGGATGGGGAAATTATGGAGGATGAATTGGAAGGAAGGGGGGAAAGGTTGGGGGAAGGATGGGGGGTGGACGGTTGGGAAGGGAGGTTATTAAAGAGGGGATGGAGGGTGGAAAGGTGGATGGATGGTGGGGGTGGTGGTTGGAAGGGGGAAGGCAAGGATGGTGGAAAGGGTGGAGGAAGTAAAGGAATGGAAGGATGGTTTGGAGAATGGATGGAGGAAAATTTTGGAAAGGGAAGAATGGAGGATGGAGGGGGGGAGGAGGGGGAACATGGGATGGGTGGAAGGATGGTGGATGGGGGAAAATGGTAACGGGAGGTTGGATGAGGAGGGAAGATGTGGAAGGTGGGAAAAAAGGAATTTGGGGGAGGGGGAAGGGTGGGAAGGAAGGATAAAGGTGGGTTGGTGGGTTATGGAGGAGGAAGGAAGGTTTGGGTGGATTATATTGGATGGATGAAGGTGGAGGAAGGGATTTGGTTTATGGAAAGGGACTTTTATGGGTTTAATGTGTGGTTTATGGATATTTTATGGAAAAAGGGGGGGGGGAGGGAAATTTGGATGGAGAGGGATATGGGATGTCGGGGGGATGGGTTTAAAGAATAATTGGATGGATGGGTTTATTAGTAATGGAAGGTATTTGGGTTAGGTTTGGCATCCCTTTTGGTGGGAGGATGGTGAATTGGATGGATTTGGGTTAGGGGGGATTTATGAAAGGTTTTAGTGGACCACCATTTCCCCCCCCCAACCCCCCCACCCCCAACCCCCCAAACCCCCAACCCTCCAAAAAATTTTTTTTTTGGGGGGTTGGGTTTAAATTACCCAAATTTCCCCCCCTTTTATTTCCCCAAACCCCCCCCAAAAAACCCTTCAAGCAAAAAACATTTTCCCTTAAAATAAAAGTGTTTTTAAATGCAAATTTTTGGAGTCTCCCAAAAATTTTTTTTTGTATTTTTAAAAAATTTTTCAAAGAAAATTTCAAAAAATTTATCTCTTGATTGAAATTACTTTTTTAAATTTAATTTTTTGTTTGTTTTGTTTGAAACAACTTCTTTTTTTTTATTTAATAATAAAGCCCCAAAAGTCCTACCCCCTTATTTGGTCCATTTTAAAAAAAAAAAAATGTTACTTAAATTAAAAAAATTGTTTTTAAAAAAAAAAAGACGGGGCCTCTTTTCAAATAAAAAATTTTTTAAAACAAAGAAAAGCAGTGGTTTTTCCCCTAAAATTTTTTTTGGGCTCAAAATTTTTTTGCATTCAAATGCTTTTTTCTTTGATTGAAAAGCTTTTTTTTATTGAAGTAACTATTTTTTGAATCAACATTTTTTTTTGATTGAATGATAAAGATACAAATCTACCTTCATATGTAACAGAGATAGATTAATCACATCTAAAATGGAGAAGGAGATCACAGGGAATATCTCCTTAAATAACCTGGTTGGAACTGGATCTAACATCCAAGTTGAAGGCTTAGATGACAATAATTTAGCTAACTCTGAAAGTTCAACTGGATCAAAGCAGTCTAAACCCGGTTCAGTTGCTAAGGCTACCTTAGATGCTGCCTCACCCTACAGAGATAAACCAGTCGTGGATAGAGGAGTGCTAATAATAAGAGCAGGTGGAATGGACGGTTCAACAGAGCTATGGCTCTGGGTGAGTTTGGCAACTGGATTAAAAAGAAATCTAGGATTATTCTTATTCTCCTCTATTAATGAGGAGAAGTATGCTGCTCTTGCTTTACAAAGGGTCCTCTTATACAGCAGTAAACCATTTTTCCAGACTAGGAAGGACTCCCGCAGGCCTGTGGAGCGATATTTTCTCTCCAGTTTCCTAGCATTTTGCTTCAAAGTACGCAGCTCTGCATTAAACCAAGGAGCAAGCTTTCTATTTTTAACGGTTTTCATTTTCAAAGGAGCTGCGTTGTCTAAGGCAATACGCAGAGAACTAGCAACCCCATCAACAAAATCATCAACCTGTGAAGGGGAATAAGCTATGCTTTTGCACTCTGCAGCACTGCTCAGCGACACAGAGGAGAGAGAAAGTGAAGCAGATTCTTTAAAATTTATAACTGCTCTATCTGATAAAGATCTACTAAAATGTAACCTTCTTTTGGGGGAGGAGAACTCTGTTAAAGTAATCCTGAAGGTTATTAGAAAGTGGTCAGAGAGGACAGGGTTGTGAGGAAATACTGTTATTTCTTCACATTCTATGCCGTATGTCAGCACAAGATCCAAAGTAGGAAGATGAGAATGCGTGGGACTATTCACATTTTGAACAAAGCCAATAGTGTCTAAGATAGCATTAAAGGCTGCTCTTAAGCTATCGCCTACAATGTCAGCATGGATGTTAAAATCTCCCACTATGATGACCCTGTCAGTATTTAATACCAAATCAGAAAGGAACTCTGAAAACTCATCTAAACATTCAGAGTAAGGACCTGGTGGACGATACAAAGTTACAAAAAGAAGAGGTTTTCTTGCCTTGAAATTTGGATCAGGGAAATTAAGGGTTAAATGTTCAAAAGAGTTGTAATTATTTACTGCCTATGGAGTAATCAGTAAGTCAGACTGAATTACTGCCCTGATCAAAAACAACACCAAGATTTTTTACTTTATTATCTGAAATCAGTTTAATCCCATCCAAATGAAGTGACTGGCTAATCAGCTTCTTTTTCAGAGACTCTGGTCCAAAGACTATAACTTCAGTTTTGTCTGCATTCAGGAGCAGAAAGTTAAGAGTCATCCAGGTTTTTATGTCTTCAAGACATGCCTGTAATCTATGTAATGGGTTAGCTTCATCTGGATTATAGACAGATATAGCTGGGTATCATCAGCATAACAGTGGAAATTAATCCCATGCTGTCTAATGGTTTCCATCTGTGAAACGTTCAGATGATTATGAAGAAACCGACAGACTGGAGACCAGTCCAGGGTGGACCCAACCTATCGCCCATAGCCTTCTGGGCGATAGGCACTGGCCCTACCGCGACCCTGAAGATGGATGATTATGAAGAAGTACCTGAGCTAATTGGTCTCAGGACTCATGGATTCAGTCTGATCCAGTCACTCTGGACAAATGAAATCCCTTCCGTTGTCAAACTGCTGTGGGTCCCTTCACTGCCCTGCTGTCAGCTTGCTGGGGCCCCTTGGTGCCCCGGGGCCCTCTGACATTATCTGCAGCTGTCTTGGAGGAAGGTCGAGCAGAGGAGGTTGATTTGGAAAATGATGAGCGCTGACGTGAAAACAGAGACGGCTACAGCGAACACAGAACCCTGAATCACCTCTGGCCTTTACCGGGCTCGCTCCACTTGCTTTATCTCTGTTTGTGCTCGTATGTTGAGTGTGTGCCAAACACGAGTGGCCAACATAAAGGAAACACGTCCTGCTAGCGTGCAAACAGAGCTGCAGCGCGCTGAGGTGTATTTTCCTGATAAGATCTGCAGCCTCCAGGTTGTTCCAAGGCTACAACAAAAGAGAAACAGACACTCACAATTAGCAACAAACACACACACACATCCTGGCTTTGCTATATGCACTGAGGACCATGTTGACTTCCATCCATTGTCAGCCATTTTAACTCTTTCTATGCCCCCAGCCTGGCACTAATGCTAAACCGAACCATGACGAGTGCATCCCTAAAACTGACCTGAACCCAAACTCTGTTCAGACGTTATTTCTGACTTGGACCCCCGATGCCGGCACAGAACCGCTCTTCACAGGAACCTGCCTCAGTCCCCACAAGGACCTATAAACCCCCATAATGTAGCCGATTCCTGGGAGAGTGGAAACAACAGTTGAAACATCAGATCAGGTCTGCATCCTAATGGAGTTGCTCACATCTTTAGTAGAAGCTGTACCTCCTCACCATCACTCTGACCCAAACATGCCCCCCCCCCCCCCAGGATTTATAACCCGCTGCGTCTCGGCTGAGCGGAGCACAGAGGAGCATCCGAGCTGCAGGTAGGACCCACCTGTCCCTGTATTTTCTACTCAGACTCTTTGCAGATGTAGATATTTAGTATGTAGAACTTTTCAGTGGTTCTGGGCATTAAGGCTGGAGTCATTCTGATCTGCTAACTTAGATTTATTCAAATGCAGCTTTTTCTGGTCGGGTCTAGATTGATTTATTTTTCTTTTATTTTTATTTTACTTTTTATTTTTCATAATCAGTATTATTTAATTTTCAATGTTAATGTTTTCAGAAGATAAGAATTTTTTCCATTTTCGGCTATTTTCTACATACATGCCCATTAAGTTCTGTTGTTTTTTTCCTATTATATCATTTATTTGTATCTCATATTTTATATTTATACCTAAAGTGAATATAAATTTAAATAATTTTTTTGGTTTTGTTCAGTAGTTTATCATCCTGGTTATTCTGTTATTGTTTTCTAAGACAGAATAAGACATTGTTAAAAAAGAAAATGTTTGTGTGAAGTTTCATTTCCAGTAAATCTCTGAAATCTCCTGCAGGTCATCTGCTGTTTCCTTCCTCCCTTTTTTTTTTAAACAAACAATTCTGAAGGTAAATGAAATTTTGCATCCCAAGCAGGCGGGAGGAGATGCCCAGATGAGATGGGGGAAGATAAGGGAGGCTGATTGCGTTATGGAGGCAGGAAGCAGCAGCAGACAGTCGGCTTCAATCCGCCAACCTGATGACATGAAATGTTTTCCATCTGAAGCCAAACAGCATCAATCTTAGCAGGATGGATTTATGTTAGCATGAAGACATTCTGAATGGTTCAAATGTTGATTTTGTCCTCGTTCTTTAACAATAATTCACCTAGTGATGATTTAAAGGAAAAGTCAGAATAGCAAGGAATAATCAATGGATCATTTTTATACCTAAAACTATTACCTTTTGCTGTGATTGAATTATTCAGCATTAATCAGTAAAAAAACAAAAAACAAAAAAACAATTATTTTCATTGCGATCACTGAGTCTGGGAGCGGCCATTTTTGCCCAAATATAGTAGCCCCTCCCTCCTGCCATCATCCAGCAGTGACGTCACGGTGCGGTAAGCCTAGCGCCATTCTCCCCGCTTTACAAGCTAAATCAATGGGAACTACTAGACACATCTGCAATCAACAACAATTATTGAAGATTTCCAGAGGACTTCCATCCGTCCATCTTCTTCCTCTTATCCGGGGTCGGGTCGCGGGGGTAGCAGCTTCAGTAGGGAGGCCCAGGCGTCCCTCTCCCCAGCCTCTTGGTCCAGCTCCTCCGGGGGAATCCCAAGGCGCTCCCAGGCCAGCAGAGAAACATAGTCCCTCCAGCGTGTCCTGGGTCTCCCCCTGGGCCTCCTCCCGGTGGGACGTGCCCAGAACACCTCACCAGGGAGACGTCCAGGAGGCATCCTAACCAGATGCCCGAGCCACCTCAGCTGGCTCCTCTCGATAAGGAGGAGCAGCTCTACTCTGAGTCCTCCCTGGATGACTGAGCTCCTCCCCCTATCTCTAAGGGAGAGCCCAGACACACTACGGAGAAAACTAATTTCAGCCGCTTGGATCCAGGATCTCATTCTTTCGGTCATGACCCAAAGCTCATGACCATAGATGAGGGGAGGAACGTAGATCGACCGGTAAACCTTACAACAAAAGAACACCTGTGAATTCCAAGTAAAATGAGAAATCGACCGGATGCCGACATCTTCCTGAAGGCTGCATGATTTTCCCTCTGCTCTTACCTTATGCCGATGACATGCGGCTTTATATCTGTGACACCTCAACAAACAGAACTTTCTTTAGCTTTATCTGAAAAATCCAAAATTAGTTTTTGTTCTCAAAATTCAAGGTCATTTTTTCAATTGGGCCAGGTTTCAGCCTCATGGTGCATTCTGCGTTGTGCAGCGTACACAGGGTAACGCGGGGCGATCAGCCTCTCACGACCTCCTCCTCATCAGGAATTGTAACGTCGGGAGAAAATCAAACATGTTTGAAAGTCAGTCGGCCATCGTAAGGTGGTCGTGGATAAATCCGGGTGTTGTAGCAGAGCTACGAGCCGATTTACCAGAACCTCCCGCACCGAGCAGTGCAAACCAGGGAGTTCTTCTTCTTTATCTAGATTGACGAGTCCAACCAGCATCATCTCTCGGTTCTGAGTCCGATTGGTGGTTTTAGACGTACAGTGTGAACAGGTAGATCGCATCAGTGTGAGAACAAACATGGTGAGCTGTGAACTTTTAAACCCTGCAGTTTCATCGTACAGTTTGAGCTGTAGCTGCATGCAACAATTACAAATATCACACAGTTTAAGCCCGGCTTTAGTCAGCATTTAACCAGGATAAAAGAGGCTAAAACCACAACATCCAAGAGTCCAGGTCACTGTTACACACTCAGAGTTTAATTTTAATTAAAACGTAGTCTATTGGTAAAATACGCCAATTGGCAACTTAAAACATTTAAGTTTTCTGTTAAAGCAGTAAAGGGAAACATCACATTCGTTCATTACTAGGATAGATGATTGTAATGGTGTCTAAGTCCTCTCTTTAAAAACTCTACCTACCAGCTACAGGTCATCATGGCACTGTTAGAGACCCTGAGCAACACAGAAAAATGGACCAAACCTGAAAGAGTCAATTCAGTCAGATAATCAAACCTGATTGGTTCAAAGTTTTCTCTCTGAGGAGAACCAGCTGATTACATCCAGTCACTGAGGATCCACTCCTACTGGATAGGCAGGCAGCGATGGTACATTTGTTTTTGCTTGCATTGGGTCAGTGGTCACACAAAACAAACATAGAAGCACTGATCTATGAATAGTTTCTGTTAGAAAAAGCAACAGTAAACTATCTCCTAGACCTTTGAGCTTTGAGCCAGTTTTCATGTCATGTCAGAGCCTATAGCTATGTCATGGAGTAGAAATGTTCAGAGAAGATGTACTAAACGACATTTTGTGTTGTATAAACCCTGTGTATACAAAATGACAAAGAAAGATGTCTAAGTCCAGGAGAGAAACAGGACTAAACACTGGAAAACAGGCCAAGCTCCAACATCTAGAAACAAAGGTGTGGATGGCAGCAGCACAGCTGATATTTCTCTCCAGGATGGAGTCACAGCCAAATAGGAACAGACCAGATGAAGCTACTATGAGAAAAAGCAGAGAGAGCAGAACGTTAGAGATTGAACTAACAGATTCTGCAGAGTGGGAGAATAGAGATAGAATGAAGCAGAATGATGAAAAAGGGGTCCCTATGTCCTCCAGCAGTCTAAGCCTATAGCAGCATAATTTCACTTCAGAGCCATTTGCTGAGTTTTCCCAGAAGCAGACCTAAAAAGGTGAGTCAGCATTTAGTTCCTCTGCCCTGAAACAAACCGAGATGTTCAGAAACTTCAGGACTCAAAACATGAAGCTTTACTTTGTAGCTTTTTACGTAGGATTCTTAATTTTCCACGATAAGCAGATAAGTTCTGCTCCATGCAGGAGAAAAAGAGCATGGCCTCCATTTATTGAACATCCTGGTGTGTTTAGATTCTGTCATCATATGATGTAACATTACACTGGAACCAGTCTGCCCCTTTCCCCTTAATAATGGTGATATTTTCCCACCCTTTAGTCCAGCTAAGCCTCCATTCCATCTTTGGGACTTTTCTAGATTTAAAAGCATCCTGGATACAAAGGATCCGGCAAACAGAAGCACCAGTCATTTCATCAGGAAGCTGGATTAAACGTTTATTGCTGTTATTATAAAAAAGCTCTCAGTCACTGATTTGGACCTAAACAGAGGAGGTCGATAGAATGATGGTGCCTTGAGAAAAAGCCCAGATTATAAAGATTTTCAGGTATGATCAGGAGAATGAAGCTATGTGAGGATCAATAATCCATGATGCCGTCAGAACGTCCTCAGTCTCAGATCCCCAAATGTAGAGGCTTCCTGCAGCGAGAGGCTTCAGACAGAGAGCTCAGACTAATACCTGGAGCCTGGAATGATAACAGCCTGTAGTTTTATTAAAGATCAGATGAGATATGAAGGGGCTCTGTGCAGCTGCCTGCTGGCGTCACTCTGGTCCTCAACAACAGGAACATTAAGGAGCCTTGATGAATGGAAAGAAAGCAAAACCAAATTCAGTTTGATCATATGCTAACTGGACTCATACCAGCACAGTGCTGGGAGGAACCCAGTATGCATCAGTTTTCACAGCTGATAATGTTCAGCTTATGGTGAATATTCATTAACACTGTGACATCAACACCTATGTTTCTAGATGTTGGAGCTTGGCCTGTTTTCCAGTGTAGTCCTGTTTCTCTGACTGTGACTAACTGGATGTGCTCTCTTCATCCTCTGACATGGGAGCTGGCTCGGAGCTCGTCTGCCTGGCTGTGTGTTTCCTGGACGGGGCCGCCTGTGGAGCTGGTTGACAGTTGCCTTTTGTATCTATGCTTCTTTTTCTATGTCTGCTTCTGTCTCCTTGAACCCCAGTGGGCCTCAGCAGATGGCCGCTCACACTGAGGCTGGTTCTGCTGGAGGTTTCTTCCTGTTCAAAGGGAGTTTTTCCTCTCCACTGTCGCTACAAGCATGCTTAGTGTGAGGGATTGCTGAAGAGTCAATGAGTCGATGCAATCAGCTGGTTTTCCTTAGATAGAAAACTTTGAATCAATCTGACTGGATGATCTGGTTGAATTATCTCTATAAAGTGTCTTGAAAGGACGTGTTGTGAATTGGCGCTATTTAAATAAACTGAATTGAAAACAGTAACTTTATTCTGAATCTTTACTGAGTGTGAACCAAACATCAGGGGCCTCAGGGGCCTCAGGGGCCCCCGGCGCTGCATTTTAGACCTGGATCAGATTCAGAATGAAGCTTCATTAATGGTGCTGTTGGGTTTAAGGTCCAGAGGAAGCAGCCGACCCGCTGTGAGGCGTTTCCTGGTCTAAATGTCCTCTGCTGTGGTTCTGTCTGTGCAGAGATGGCGTGGCTCCTTCCCAGTCGAGGTTCTCCCAGACTGGTTCTGGTGGTGGTCTGCGTGGCTCTGCTGCTGGACAACATGCTGCTCACAGTGGTCGGTGAGTCCAGGACATCTGATGAACCGGGTCTGGAAACCTGGCCTAGCTTCTCAGTAGGATTCCGGTCTGGACTTTGACTAGGCCATCCTAACACTTTGGTGTTTCTGTCTGGATGTTCAGGGAGCTTCTCCTCCTGGAAGGTGAACCTCCATGAACCTGCAGCCTTTCCCATCAGCTCAGACTTGTATCTCGGTCCCACAGCATGATGCTGCCACCTCCATGTGTCACAGTAGGATGGAGTGTTCTGGTTAAGGTTTCTCCTCATGAGGACAGATGGTCCACCTGAGTTGGACCACCGTGGTCCTCCTGTTCTCTCCTCCTCCTGTCAGTCCAAGTGGACCATGTGTCCTGCTGGGTCCATCTGATCAGAGCTCTGGGTGACGCTAGACAGAACCAGAACCCCTTTCCAGACCCGTCTGCTATTTGATAAAAAGAAAAGTAAGATGAGGAGGAGGATCAGACAGGTTCAGGTTCAGTTGAACCAACCAGTTTAGGAACCATTTGGACCTTAGACTTAGACTTAGACTTCTTTATTTGTCATTTTGTATGCACAGGGTGCATACAGAACGAAATTGCGTTACATACAGCTTATGAACGTTGCATTGATATTTCACAATGGCACGAGTTATAGAAAAATACAAAAAGTGCAGCAGTGGTCAAAGTGTGAACAGTGCAGGATTCTGCAGCAGATCCAGATGGTTCCTGTCTGAACCAATGGGGGACCTACGAGGACGTCAGAACTGTGCGTCCCGTTTGGGTCAGGAAGCGCCCTCTGATAGGTTTGGGCCCGTGGGTCGGTGCTGTCACTCTCTGTTAGACGCTGCCCGGGTCAAAGAATCACCTCCTGAACCTGAACTTTAAAGCGGACCCTCTGGGTTCAGGCTCGTCTCGTCCGTCTGTCCTCATGTCCCTGCAGCTGGTTCCACCTTTAGACGGATCCGTTGCTCATCCGAACCAACCCATCTTCTGCTTTCAGTACCGATCATCCCGACGTTCCTGTACGCCATGGAACATCCCAGCCCAGAACCGCAGACCGCCCAGCCGTCCACGCTGGACGCTGTGACCTCACAGCCCCACTCCTCCGGTTCCGACATCCAGCTGTCTCCTCCCAGCAGCAGAACTCCAGTCCTGGGTCCAAAGTCCCAGCAGAACATCTGGCAGCGTCTGCTGGTGTCCCTGTTTGAGAACATCACGGATAACCTGCAGGAGAGCCAAACAGAACCGACAGCTGAGGGGATCCGGACCACAGAGCTGACGCCGTCCAACCAGACCTCCAACGCTACAGTAGGTGGAGCCGGATCAGATCCTTCTTCTATGGTTAAGGTAGTTAATCAGAAATGGACCCAGAACCAGAACCCAGGAATGGACCTTCAGCTGAAGCAGGTTCTGAATGATGTTTAGCTTTTCTCTTTTGGTCCAATAGCTGAACGTCCAGGAACCCGCTGAATGGGTTCCTGTTGGTTCTGCTTCAGTCCAGCATCCGGGTCAGGTCCAATTCTGATTCCATGATAACACCAGAGCAGCAGAGACCAGAAAGGTTCCTGTGGTTTTACTGCAGAATCCATTCTATTTATTCGGTGCTAATCTGGAGTCGCATCACATCATCATCTCTGTCTTCTAGATCTTTTCTTTTTAATTAGGTTTCATCACTTCCGGTTTTCATAACTTGTTTCTGATCAGAATGAAGATTGAAGTTGATCATCTCATCCTGTCCTCTACTGTCCTCATGTCCATCAGTCCTGTCCTCAGGTTTTTTTTATTGTCATTACACTGTCAGTACAGACATTTAACCCCTCCCATCGGGGAGCAGTGGGCTGCCACAGTGCGGCGCCCGGTGAGCAGTGTGGGGTTAAGGGTCTTGCTCAGGGACCCAGAGTGGCAGGCTGTGGTAGAGGGGATTGAACTCAGAACCTGTAGATTCCAGCTCAATGCTCTAACCATTAGGCCACCACTCCCTCTAATGTCCTGTCCTGTCCTCCTGTGTCATCCTTCCCTGTCCTGCAGGACTCCTGTCTCCAGGACAGTGTCTTCCTGGAGGAGGAAAATGTCCGGGTGGGTTTGCTGTTTGCCTCTAAAGCTCTGGTCCAGCTGTTCATCAACCCGTTTGTTGGTCCGCTCACCAACAGGTACCGTTCCAGAACCTTTGAAATCTGTATATGAGTCTCTTAGGTTGGACTGACGCGCTGTTTGTGCCGTCGCAGGATCGGGTACCACATCCCGATGTTCGCAGGATTCATCATCATGTTTGCTTCCACCATCAGTGAGTTCTGCCGTCGGACCCAGACTCGGTTCCGCCCAGGTTTCCCACCGTGGCTGACTCTGTGTCCCTGTCAGTGTTTGCTTTCTCAGGGACCTATGCGCTGCTGTTCTTCGCTCGCTCTCTGCAGGGGATCGGCTCATCCTTCTCCTCTGTGGCGGGTCAGAACTTTACCAACAAACAGTCCAAAACAAACCCAGTAATCACCCTGCAGTCATCAGAGGGTCGTCTCCCACGGGAAAACACACCAACCCAGACTGTTCGTCATAGAAACATCATCTGAATCTCTGGCAGGACTCTGTTCCAGAACCCTGACCGGGTTTAGGGCTTCTGGGTCTGGAAGAACCAATCAGTGCTGGAGTTCTGGTTCTGCTGTCATTTGATGGTTTGATGTGGAGGTTCTGAGGAGGCAGCTGGAGTAGTCACTCTCTTAGTCCGACTTTGGCCCGTTTGGTTCTGCTCAGCAGCAGATTGACTGCTTTGGTCCACAACAACACGACACAAAACATAAAATACGATAAATCTTACAAAAGATTTGCATGCCGATGTTTCCAGAGAGCCGACTGGTTTCTTAGCGTCCTGAGAGAGGGATGTGAAAACATCACAATCAGACTTCATTTAGCTGCTCAAACCAGACATAACCACACACTCACATGCCTGCAATGACATGTGCAAATCATCTAACATGCTCTGCTGAACCTGGATTCTCAATGAGTCATGATTAGCAACCTTAGCCTCCTGCATGCTAGCATTTTAGAATTTACACCATTAAAGAGCTTTAAACAGTTTGACTTTTACCTCGTCAGTGCACAGATGAAATGTCATCCTCCTTATCATCATCATCATCATCATCATCATCATCATCATCATCATCATCATCTGCACTGGAAAAAACCTTTAGGTTCTTTTTCCAATCCAGTAAATCTGACGTTCAGAATCAGAACTTCTCCTGATTCAGATGTTAGATGAGTCTGAAGGAGGTAAGATACTGACTGCTTCTGCCTCACCACAGAACCACACCTTGAAATCCAAAGAAAAGCGAACCTGAGCTGGACCAGAACTTCACCAGAAACTGCCATTGAAGTTTGAAACCACTGATGGAAGTCCTATCTGGCTCTGAAGTTCTTTAGAACCGGGTCTGAAATGAGAATCTGTTGCAGGTGACTGGTTCTTCACCGTGCAACCATTCAGCAACAGCTTCAACATATAAACAAAGATGGTTAAGTTTAGAGAAAGCTCCAAAAGAAGCCTGTTTTCATGCAGGACGTTAAGGCCTGACACGACCTGTGATGGCTGCAGCATCAGTTACGCAAACATCTCAGAGACTCGGCAGACGGCGATCAGCCGGGCCCGCTGGGTTCTGATGGGGCTGATAATGCCGTGTGTCTGTGTCCAGGTCTCGGCATGCTGGCCAGTGTCTACACCGATGACGAGGAGCGAGGCGTGGCGATGGGTGTCGCTCTGGGAGGACTTGCCATGGGAGTTCTGAGTGAGACAGAACCGCACTCACAGGCTCCAGAACAAGATTCCTTCTTTGGGTTTCTGTTTCCATAGCTGCCGTTCTTTTACATTATCCTGATGTAGAAAACAAATGTTCCCTGAGTCCAGATGTGTGTTTCCTGTCATCTGTTCTGGGTTTGATCCTCTTTGCTGCGTCAATCAGGGATCAGTGGTAGAGATCCCCTAAAAATAACTATTAGCCTAATTACTACACTCTTTATTTATATATAGAACATATCTAATGTTATTATCGTGCATTTCACAGTCAAATGTTTTAGATGAATTAATCAATCAATTTCTTTATTTTCAGCGACAATTTACATTGTAATCGAGATTGCAGTTTGAGTACAAGCGGTTCATCACATACATTGGGGTGGGGGGGTGGGGGGCTGACAGGAGGAACGATTTACTAAGGCCATGCATGCCGCAAGCAGTTCTTCTGGGCATTCCACCATAACATTCAGGGAGAGTTTTGATAAGAGGGAGACCGAACCCAAAATAACACTTATTGTTTTGAGAACTGGCTGCACAGGAATTTTCCATCAGCCTTAAGTCTTTTCTTGATGAATCTACATGAAGAATCCAATATTCCAAATTTGTTTGGCTATTCTGCCTTGAAGTTAGCGTGCACATAAGACATTATCCCATCTCACCTTTGAGTTGAACCACCGCAGCCAGCCTGCATTCAGTCGCACCCAAGTCTGACTTAGGAAAATGCAGAGGATGCTCCAGGTGATGCTAAGTGTTTCCTCGGGTTTGTTTTGTTTGTTTGTTTCAGTTGGAGCTCCGTTTGGAAGCGTGATGTACGACTTTGTGGGGAAGAGCGCCCCCTTCCTGATCTTGGCCTTCCTGGCTCTGTTTGACGGAGGTAAGGATGGACTCATATGGTGGAAATAAGTGGAGCCCCCTGCAGGTAGCGGATGGGATGACGCAGATGTTCTCTGTGTTGCAGCTTTGCAGCTCTGCATCCTGCAGCCCTCGAAGATCTGTCCTGGGGTGAGTCCACTTTAAACAGGTCTACTCTAGTCCCATTTAAGATTCCTCCCACCTTCCCGTGATCCAAACCTTCCTGGTTTGGATCAAAGGTTCCCAGATGTTTTAACAGTCTTAAAGAGTTTAGCCCCTTTTCCCGTTCTACATAGGTTTTGACCTAACAGATGTTTGTTCTCCTTAAATATCTATGATGTTCTGTTTCTCTAAAAAGAGACTAAACCCAACAGATGTTCCTGGTTTCAGTTCCAGTTCCCCTCTGCCATCTTCCAGCAGTGACGTCACGGTGCGGTAAGCCTAGCGCCATTCTCCCCGCTTTCCAAGCTAAATCAATGGGAACTACTAGACACATCTGCAATCAACAACAATTATTGAAGATTTCCAGAGGACTTCACCATTGAAATTCACCAGAGCTATAGTGAAACTGACAATGCCCACGTGCATGGCAGCTGGATGCTGGAATACATCGGGTAAAAGTGAAAAAAAAGAGTTATTCCACCTTTCTGATTCCTGATCCTCCACGGACGGGTTGGTCGTTGGATCGCCAACTTGAAGAGGGAGGATTTGCCATCGAACTTCTGGCCAGAGAAAAAACCCGTAATATGTAGCCAACATTTGGAAGAAGAATGTTTTCAAGATGACTTGGATAATAGCGCGTTGTGACAAACACCAGATACAGCACTGGGACTTGTTCAACAGCCGATACCGCACCGTGACAATGTCACTAACCAGTAGGTGGCAGTAGTGTTCTTTGACAAACATGGATGCCTCCAGTAAAGCACATTCACATGAAAATTACTCTGAATTAAAAACACTGATCATTTATTGAACAGGATGGAATCATTTCATATTTAAAGAACTTTCAGAAGTTTGGATTCTGAATATGAGCGACTTTTCCTTTAAGGATTGGAGTCGTCAATTTCTCTCAGTTCTGTATCGCTTTTGTTGATTCTGACCCACAATGAGCAGCTTTGTTTATGTGTGTTCCAGAGTGTGGAGGGGACACCTTTACTGACCCTGTTAAAAGATCCCTACATCCTGATCAGTGCAGGTGAGGAGTTTCTGTTCACTTGGTTTTTTGTCTGAAGTAGGTGGAGGAATGATCAGCTTATCAGGAATGATCAGCTGTCCTTCTGTCCCTATGAAGGGTCTCTGTGCTTTGCTAATATGGGCGTGGCCATACTGGAACCGACGCTGCCCATCTGGATGATGCAGACCATGTGCTCCCCCAAATGGCAGCTTGGTACGACCCAAACCTCCAGAAGCATCAGAAACAGAAACCATCTGTTGAGATTTGATTGAAACCAGAAGGTTCACGTAGGACCAAGGATTAAACGGCTTGGATCTGAGACAGGAGAGCTGCCTGACCAATCACAGCTCAGCCTCAGGTCCACCATCAGCCTCCATCTGAGATGATGATCTGACACTGATGTTGGTCCTCAATGTGTTGCAGGAATGGCCTTCCTCCCAGCCAGCATCTCCTACCTGATCGGGACCAACCTGTTTGGAGTTCTGGCCAACAAAATGGGACGGTCAGTACCTCAGCTGGTGGTTTCAGGCTAAAACACAACTTTACACCAGAAACTAGGCCTCTTGCAGACCATTTGAAAATAAAAATAAACAACTAAAACACTCTGGCTATGAAGGAACAACATGACAGTAATAATAATAATAATAATTGAAATTGGTTTAAAAAGCCCTTATGAAGAACACAAAATCAAGCCATATCACTTCACGTGGTACAGCGGTGCTGGGATCTCACGTTGGAGCCTGGCCTGAGGTCGGGTTTCATGAGCAAGGACCTGGTGGTTGGCTTACTTTTCACAGGGCCCAGACAGGCCAACCCAGGGAGGACTGTCAGGAGTCCATACCCTAGTTGGCCTACCACCTTGAGGGGGAACTATGAGGGATTGGTGCAAAGGAATCTTATCCACGGTTGGAATGGGGACCCATGATGCTCATGCACATCCTGGAGCTCCTTGAAAGATGCTGGACCCTCTTCTACTCTGAAGTGGCCCATGAGGTCACTGAGGTCGAATTCCCTTTGTATGAGGGGAGGACTGTAGTTTTGACCTATGTTATGATAGTTTAAAGTACCAGGTTTTCTTGGCGTCATTATGTTGGGTGACTTCAGTGCCAATGTGGGAAAGGACAGGGACACCTAGAGAGGTCTGATCAGGAGGAACAGACCCACGTCTCTGAACCTGTGGGAAGTTTCATAGTTAGACTTCTGTACAAGTCACAGACTGTCCATAAGGAATACAATGTTAGAGCATAACGATGTTCATCGGTGCAATTTGCACCAGGATGCCATAGGCTGGAGGAACATGATAAACTTTGAAGTTGTATCTTCTGACCTTATGCCACATGTCCTGGAGACTGGAGTGAGGGGTGGAGCTGTCAGCCAAACACCCTCTGGAGGTGAGTGTTATGTGCTGGAAGAGAAGGATGCTGAAGAGATCTGAGTCAGTAGTGAGGGTCTGCTGGGAATGTCTGGTGGAGCCAAGGAAGTATTTAACTCCCACCCAGCCTTCCCAGATTCCAGGGAAGGCTGGGTACATGAAATCTAAGTGGACCATGTTTACTGCTTCTATTGTCGATGCACCACGTGTTGCTGTGGCTATACGTTCTGTCTGCCACCAGGTCCAGGGGTCGCTGTAGTGGAGGATGCTATCAAGTTAAACAAGGAGTCCTGTTGGGCCTGGTTAGCAGCAAGCAAGTATTGTAAAGCTAAGCTACAAGCTTTCCTCCACAGGATTGCTGGGCACCTCTTTAGAGATAGGGTGAGGAGCTCTGCTATCAGCGAGAGGCTCAGAGTAGATCTGCTTCTCCTCCACATCCAGAGAGGTCGGTTGAGGTGGGACCCATGGGGGGAGTTCTAGGTGCTCTGGAAGCATATTTTTCCTTGGCCTATTTGTGAGATAAAATATTCTGAACGTGCCCTTTCTCTTTCTAAACAGGGGTGATTGTTTAGAAGTCTTGTACCAGTCTCCATACTGGAGTTAAATTATGGAGTTAAGATTGGGGATGACAGAAAGCAGTTGCCTCCCGACTCTAGACAAGGGTGAAGGGAGGGTCATGAGAGATAAGCATGGGTTCACACAGCCTCCTTCATGCCGTGAACGGGAAACCTGTTCTGAAGCCTTAATGAATTGAAGTGTTTTTTTCTCGGGAATCACCAAATGGTTGTGTGTGAGAAATTTCTTTGTGTATGGGGTGGGATAGTTCCAAGGGGGAAACTGTGTGTTGGGATTTTGTAAGGTACAAATGTATGTACTGAGCTTTGACCAGTCAGAGCTCTATTCTCTGTCTAAGGACGTTAAATAAATTTGGTCATTCTCTGGCAAGAGTCTGAGATTCCTCCTCAAGTCCACAGTACTTACCACTGGTAGGAGGAGACTCTGCTGAGAATGCTGCCCCCATAACCTGGTCCTAAAGCAGAACACAACTGTACCAGTGATAGGGATGATATTATTATTAACGGCCATAATATTATTATTAACATTAATAATACTGATAAAAATACCTATAGTAACAGTAATAATATGAATAACAGTAATAATAAGGAGTATTGTCATTTTAATGAAGTTTATTCGTGTGATAGAGCCACTACACATAGCAATGGTTTTTTTGGGTTCAGTGTTCAGGTTGAAAACAGCTTTAAGACACATTAAATTCTTGGTTTTAATCTTTGGTTGTTCTTTGCTGATTTCACCATGTGGGACCCTCGGTCCAGCAGACAGAGAGGAAGAGGAACTCTTGGAAAGTTGGAAAGTTGGTTCTTTGGTTCCGTTCAGACCTGGTTAAACTGGGATCTGCAGGAAGATGTTCAGGAATGTTTGTGTGTTTGCAGGTGGCTCTGCTCCATGGTGGGAATGTTCATCGTTGGCATCAGCCTGTTGTGTGTGAGTTCAGCATCCACCCCTACAGGATACCATGGCAACCTGAACTCTACCCAGATATTCAACTAATCCATCCATCCAATCATCATCATCCATCCATCAATCCATCCATCCATCCAATCATCATCATCATCCATCCATCCATCCATCCATCATCCATCCATCCATCCATCTATCATCCATCCATCCATCCATCATCCATCCATCCATCCATCTATCATCCATCCATCCATCCATCCATCCATCATCCATCCATCCATGTTTTAGGTTCCTTTTGCCACCAGCATCTACGGTCTGATTGGTCCAAATGGCGGTCTGGGCTTCGCTATTGGTGACTTCCATTCCCAAAGCTTCTAACATACCTAAATATCTTCTGTGTGAAGGTTTGGTGAACTCTGTGTTTTGCTTCTTCAGGGATGGTGGACTCCTCAATGATGGCCATAATGGCTTACCTGGTCGACATCCGCCATGCATCTGTGTACGGCAGTGTGTACGCCATCGCTGACGTGGCGCTCTGTATGGGCTTTGCTATAGGTAACGCCATCCAGCAGGAATATGTGGTGGAAAACATTCAAGAAACTTTTGTCAGAAAGATTTATTCCTTCTGCTGTTTCAGGACCTTCCACAGGGGGCGCTCTGGTCCAGGCAGTGGGTTTCCCCTGTCTCATGGTGTTCATTGGTGTGATCAACATCTTGTACGCTCCACTCTGCTTCCTCTTGCGTAACCCGCCTGTTCAAGAGGAGAAAATGGTAAATAATCCGAAGAAATGACAGACATTAAAACTCAACTCCATTCCACTTATTTATGTATAAAAATACCATTGTGATAAAAATCCAGTCCGTGTTTTCAACACCACCTTAGTGCTAACACACATAGACATGCCAGGTTCAGATCCAGTCCCTATTTTTTTTCTCTGTTTGGCAATACGCTGTAGTACAGGGGTGTCAAACTGGTTCCAGAGAGGGCCGTGTGGCTGCAGGTTTTCTTTCCAACCAAGCAATAGCACACCAGACTCCAGTCATTTCATAATGTCATCATGTTCAGATTGGACTCACTTGATGAGATGATAGGAGTCTGGTGTGCTATTGCTTGGTTGGAAAGAAAACCTGCAGCCACACAGACCTTTCTGGAACCAGTTTGACACCCCTGCTGTAGTATCTCCTCTGCCCTGGAGAAGCTTTGACCCTAAAGGTGTTCCTCAGGGATCAAGGCTAAGATTCTTGGATTATTTATAACTTAACATCACATCTAAATCCAATCTACTGTGTTTCAGGCGATCATTGACCAGGAGTGCATGATGCACAGGAAGAGCTACAACACAAACAAAGACAGCCGTGAGTTTCCCCTGAGCGACTACAGTGAAGAGGAAGAGACGGAGGAGTGAAGGTGTCTGCGCTGTGATGTCGTCTAAAGACCCGCTTTGATTTCTCCTTTCCACTTCCTGTCCTCATCGTCTGAAACATGGGAGGTTTTCAGAAAAACATGGACGTAGTTTGAAGCTGCTGATAGAACCGGCAGGTTCTGTTCATGCGAACCCTTCAATGGTTCTGGTCCGTTTGTGTTCACTTTGTCCAAACTAGCAGGAAACATCAACAGGCTTCCTGTTTACTGTCTTCTCTGATGTTGCTGTGACGTGTTCTTAATGTGGTCTTCTTCTGGAGCCGTCTGATGACATCACAGCACCATGAGTCAGAACCTGCTCAATGTTTCTGCTGTTTCTGGTCTCCACTCATCTTTTATTAATAAAGGATCTGGTTTTGACATTATTTAACTCGTCATGAAGCAGAGGGAGAAAAACTTCCCACAAAACAAAAAAATCAAAAGCTTTGTTGAGAAACGGCGGGTGTGGCCCCTCAGTTCTAGTTTATCGTAAACAGTTGACATGGATGCGTTTAATTTTACACCGGTAATATTCCCTGACTGGTAGACCTTGTTAATTATCGGGAAAACTGAAAAACCATCCTAGAGGTTTAACAGAGTTGATCTGGCTTCTCTTTTCAGAGTAAAGCCTAAATGCTCAGATGTTAAACCGTCCCTTAGACAGTTCTCTGATCTACAGCCATGTGTTTACCTGCATCCAGCCCGTCTGGAGCCCGTCTGCTGCAGCGGATCTGAGCCACGTCTCACTACATTCATGCTTCCTATCTGACCTTTCATTTCCTGTCGCTTCGTTTCTTCCTCAAAGCTAAACAGGAGGAGGATGAAAAGCTGCTATCAGCCTCAGATCTGCTTCACCCAGGGAGGGTCCACTCCACTGCGGGTCCACTTCCGTTCAAAACTAATATCTCAGAGCACATTTCATTCATATAATCATAAACAGTCCAGTTACCCCAGTGCAATAAAGTATTCACACCCTGGCAAATTTAGGTTTAGAGGATCTCTTAACATAAATAACATGGTTCTTCCAACTGGATGGGAGGATTTTCTGGAATGGTTCATCCAGGGTCCAGAACTGAGCCTGGTGGAGGATCTGTGGAGGGAGCTACTGCTTAGGGTGATGGTTAGGAGGCCTTCCGCCCTCTCAGTGATCAGGAGGGTTTAATTCCTTAAATGATTGAAAAGGAGATGAAAAAGTTTTTAACCTGTAGTTTTTGTTTATGAATTTGTTTGCTGAAAATAGCTAATCTTTTACATTTTAAATTTGTCAAGTCTTTGAACACGTTTGGGCTTAACTGTAGTTCAGGATATTAAAACAGCCTCCCTCACTGCTGGTGCTAATCTATAAACAGACGATCAGAAAATGCTGAATGGTCAGAAGTTTCCACTTTCTAAGGAAGCCAAGGAATCATGAGGCGACAGTATACAGCAATGGCTCCCCCTCAACATGAAGACATCTCCAGGAAAAAAAGAACCTAAAACCAAACATGAGTGAGGGTAGAACTTTTGCTATGACCAACCGGAGAGCTGATTAGGAATACTTTCTATATAGTAGGAAAAAATGATGATTTCATGGCAGCAGTAGCTCTGAGACAGCAAAACTTTCTATTCCAATGCTTCTCAGCCCTGATCCTCAGGCCGGCTCCCCTTCTTGCTTTAGATGTGACTCAGTTGTGATTCACATTATAACCTTTCACCAAGGTCAGCTGTGTGGATCCAGTGATCACCTGAAACAAGCAGGAGAGGTAGAGTTTCAGAACCATCGTTCCATAAGATAAAAACACTCAAGCTAGTTTAAAGAGAAATGCCCTGAGAATTTAAGATGGATCCAACACACCTGAAACAAAGGCTGGATCCCTTCTTCTTCAGGTGATCAGGTTCTGCAGAGACCTGGAGACAAGTTGCTCATCTGATCACTTTATGATGGAACACAGAGAGACATTATTAAAGACAGAGACATTATTGAAGGCAGAGAGACATTATGAAACACGGAGAAACTGTCATGGTGGATCCTGAGAGTGGGGGGGAGGCAAAGGGGGACAGTGGAAGGGCCGACGGTCCTCTCCACCTCATAGGGACCGATGAAGCGTGGAGACATCTTCCTGGTCATGGCCTTAAGGGGAATGTCCCGAGTCGAGAGCCAAACCCTTTGGCCCGGGGTGAAAGTAGGGGCGACCCTCCTCCTGCTGTCAGCCCACCTACGTTTCAGTTCTGCAGTCCGTCCGAGAGCCGCTGCAGTCCTGTTCCAGACAGCTTTGCAGCAGCGGAATGTGGTGCTGAACTGAGGGAACAGCGATGTCAGCCTCCTCAGCCAAAAAAAGGGGAGGCTGATACCCGAGAGACTTCAAACGGGGAGAGTCTGGTGGCAGATGAGACATGGGTGTTGTGGGCATACTCAACCCAGGGGAGAAACTGGCTCCAATCGGTGGGGTTCGTTGCTGACAGCCATCTGATGCTGGCCTCCAACTCTTGGTTCATATGTTCAACTTGACCATTTGACTGAGGATGATAGCCAGAAGTGAGAGAGACTTTGGTCCCGAGGGCCAAACAAAAACTCTTCCAAACCTGAGAGATGAACTGGGAACCACAGTCCGAGAGGATGTCTTGGGGAATCCCATGCAGGCGGAAAACGTGCTTGACCAGGAGTTGGGCTGTTTGAAGAGCTGTGCGTAGTTTTCTCAGCGAAACAAGATAGTAGGCCTTACAGAAATGGTTGATAATTGTGAGTATGGTGGTCATACCTTTGGAGGTGGGTAGTCCAGTGATGAAGTCTATGGCAATATGAGACCAGAGTCTCTTGGGTATGGGTAAACCTTGTAGCAATCCGGCAGGAGGCTGATCAGAGGACTTGTTCCGAGCGCAGGTCGGGCAGGCTAACACAAACTACTTGACATCCTTCTGTAAGGAGGGCCACCAACAACATTGATCAATGAGAGCCACAGTCCGACTGACACCTGGATGAGCCGAAAACTTGCAGGTATGGAGTTTATGACCCATGCAGGAATCGTGGAAGGGACATAAATTCTGTTGGGTGGACCAGTCCCAGGGTTAGGTTCAGACTGCTGAGCCTGATTCACAAGGTCCTCAATCTCCCATGTGACAGCGGCAACAGAACAGCTAGGAGGGAGAATAGGTGCAGGAGACTTCTAAGAGTCATCAGGGGCGAACTGTCTGGAGAGAGCATCAGGTTTAATGTTACAAGATCCAGGATGGTAGGATTTTGAGAGGTTAAACCGGGAGAAAAACAGAGACCAATGGGATTGACAAGGGTTTAGTTTCTTAGCGGACTGAATGTAGGAGAGGTTTTTGTGATCTGTCCATACCCCGACTGTTTGAGCTGCTCCCTCTAGCCAGTGTCTCCATTCCTCGAGTTCAAGCTTAATGGCTAATAGCTCTCGGTCTCCAACATCATAATTTCTCTCCGCGGGGGATAATCTGCGAGAGAAGAAGGCACATGGGTGTATCTTGAGATCAGAGTTAGAGATCTGGAAGAGGACGACTCCAACTCCTGAATCGAAGATGCCAACTTCCACAATAAACTGATTTGTGAGATCAGGCTGAATAAGCACAGAGCATTTGCAAAAAGGTCCTTAAGATGATTGAAAGCAGCCTCAACCTAAGAGGAGCAGACAAAGGGGGTCTTGGTAGAAGTGAGTGATGTTAGGGGTAGAGCTGTCTGGCTGTAGTTCCGAATAAAACGACGATAAAAGTTTGCAAGCCCTCAAGGATGAAACCCAGAAAGGAGACTGATGGTTTGTGGAACTCACATTTCTCGGCCTTAACGAGCTTGTGCTCCAGAAGGCGCTGAAGTACTTTGCGAACGTGAATCCTGTGCTCTGACAGGTTCTTAGAGAAAATGAGAATTTTATCAATATAAACAAAAACTAAAATATTCAGAAAGTCTCTCAGGACATCTTTGAACTAAGGCTTGGAAACAAGCAGGTGCGTTAGTTAAACCAAAAGGCATGACTAGGTATTCAAAGTGTCCAATGGGGGTTTTAAAGGCGTTTTCCATTCGTCTCCCTCCCTTATACGATAGGCATTTCTGAGATACAATCTGGTAAAAACTGTAGCTCCTTGGACAGGCTCAAAAGCGGAAGATAAAGGGGGCAAAAGGTATTTGTATTTTACTGTGATCTGGTTCAGACCTCTATAATCTATACAGGGTCTCAGGGAACCATCCTTCTTAGACTTAGACTTCTTTATTTGTCATTTTGTATGCACAGAGTGCATACAGAACGAAATTGCGTTACATACAGCTTATGAACGTTGCATTGATATTTCAAATGGCACAAGTTATACAAAAATACAAAAAGTGCAGCAGTGGTCAAAGTGTGAACAGTGCAAAGGATAAGAGACAGTGTGCAAGTTGCAGTGGTTCAGTGCAAATAGGCATTTGTGCAAAAAATGCGTTATTGAAAATAGAAATGAGATGAACAATTAAAGGGCTAAAAGTTAAACGTTCAGCAGCATTGATGCCCGATAATGTGCAATAGGTGCAGAGTTCGGTTTGTGGATCAAAGGTTCAACAGTCTGATGGCAGTGGGGAAGAAGCTGTTGCACAACCTGGTGGATCTGCAGCGGATGCTGCGGAACCTCTTTCCAGAGGGCAGCAGGGAGAACAGTCCATGGTGGGGGGGTGAGGGGTCTTTGATGATGTCACGGGCTTGGGACACACAGCGCTGTGATGAAATGTCCTTAATGGAAGGAAGAGGAGCCCCAATGATTCCTTCTGCTGTCCTCACCACCCTCCTCACATTCTTCCAGTCAGAGGCGCTGCAGCCTCCACACCACAGAGAGAGACAGCTGGTCAGAATGCTCTCTATGGTGCTTCTGTAGAAGGTTGTGAGGATGGGCGGGGGCAGGCGGGCTCTCCTCATCCTCCGCAGGAACTACAAGCGCTTCTGTGCCCTCTTCACTAGAGATGAAGTGTTTACAGTCCAGGTGAGGTTGTCCGTGATGTGCACCCCCAGGAACTTTGTGCTGCTGACCACCTCCACAGCTGAGCTGTTGATGAGCAGTGGAGCATGGTGGGGGCGGTTTTTCCTGAAGTCGACGATGATCTCCTTGGTCTTCTCCACGTTCAGGATCAGACTGTTTTCACTGCACCACCCCACCAGCTGCTCCACCTCCTCTCTGTAGTCCCGGTCGTTGTCGTCCCTGATGAGGCCCACCACCGTTGTGTCGTCCGCAAACTTCACGATGTGATTGGTGGTGAACTGGGGACGCAGTCGTGTGTCATCAGGGTGAACAGCAGGGGGCTCAGGACGCAGCCCTGAGGGGACCCGTGCTGAGGGTGATGACGTCAGAGGTGTTCTCACCGACCCGGACCGACTGAGGTCTGTTGGTGAGGAAGTCCAGCAGCCAGTTTCGAAGGGGTGTGTTGAAG